AGTTAGTTAGTTAGTTAGTTAGTTAGTTAGTTAGTTAGTTAGTTAGATAGTTAGTTAGTTAGTTAGTTAGTTAGTTAGATAGTTAGTTAGTTAGTTAGTTAGTTAGTTAGTTAGTTAGTTAGTTAGTTAGTTAGTTAGATAGTTAGTTAGTTAGTTAGTTAGTTAGTTAGTTAGTTAGTTAGCTAGCTAGCTAGCTAGTTAGTTAGTTAGTTAGTTAGTTAGTTAGATAGTTAGTTAGTTAGCTAGATAATTAGTTAGTTAGCTAGCTAGTTAGTTAGTTAGTTAGTTAGTTAGCTAGATAATTATTAGTTAGTTAGTTAGTTAGTTAGTTAGTTAGTTAGTTAGTTAGTTAGTTAGTTAGTTAGTTAGTTAGTTAGTTAGTTAGCTAGCTAGTTAGTTAGTTAGTTAGTTAGTTAGCTTGCTAGTTAGCTAGATAGCTAGCTAGCTAGCTAGTTAGTTAGTTAGTTAGTTAGTTAGTTAGTTAGTTAGTTAGTTGGCTAGTTAGTTAGTTAGTTAGCTAGCTAGCTAGTTAGCTAGATAGTTAGTTAGTTAGTTAGTTAGTTAGTTAGTTAGTTAGTTAGTTAGTTAGTTAGCTAGTTATTTAGTTGGTTGGTAGGTTGGTTGGTTAGTTAGTTAGTTAGTTAGTTAGTTAGTTAGTTGGTTAGTTAGTTAGCTAGCTAGATAGTTAGTTAGCTAGTTAGTTAGTCAGTCAGTCAGTCAGTCAGTCAGTCAGTCAGTCAGTCAGTCAGTTAGTTAGTTAGGTAGTTAGTTAGTTAGTTAGTTAGTTAGTTAGTTAGTTAGTTAGTTAGTTAGTTAGTTAGTTAGTTAGTTAGTTAGTTAGTTAGTTAGTTAGTTAGTTAGTTAGTTAGTTAGTTAGTTAGTTAGTTAGTTAGCCACTGACCATCCTCATCGCACATCGGACAAATCCATAAGCCCTCGGATCCTAACTTCCTTATATTCCTCCGTACTGCGTTGGTTTACTATTCTTCTTTGGCTACCTGTACAGTGTTCGTGTCTGGTAACATGAAGTTCTTGTAGTCTTGTCAACTACTTGGCGATTCACAGCCATCTCATGGATCATCTGCTCGTCCTAGTTTCATGAGAGTGCTGAGAACATCTGGTCCATTGCTTCTTCTGTTCCTACCATGGCTCTGTCAGCAAGCCAATCTGCTCGTTTCTTACTTTTTCCACTAGAGAGTCCTGGCACAACAATTAAGCGATTCCTGTCAGACTAGATGTTCTCAGAGACGGTAACCATTGTCTAAAACCCTAATTGTGACCCTAACCAGGCGGCCCTAAATCCTCAGGCTCACAGACCAGCGCCCCCCCCCTCCCCCGCTCTCAAATCACACACGAAAAAAAGTCGTAGATACTGGCAGTAATGAAAAATGACATGACAGTGACAGTGACAGTGACAGTATATAATAGTGATGATTATGGTGGTGATGACGAAAATGATAATGAAAATAATGATAATGATGATGATGACCATGGAACTCATATTCTCCTAGTGTGACCTTATGTTTATGTTTTTTTAACAGATTAACATCATGGCACACGGGTGTAACCCATAAGCACTCCGTTTAACTTCTAACTCAAGTCTAAGTCTGAAGAATCTCTGCACAGTGCACGAACTCCGTTGCACAGGCGAGGATCCTTAACCCTCTTAGCACGGACGGGCCGATTATCGGCCGGCGGATGTCTAGCCAAAAACACGGAACGGCCGATGATCGGCCCGATCGTGTTTCGCCTCGAACCGCTAAGAAATCTCCTACTTTGAAACACTGAAAGTGATTCATTTATATTAACTGCGGTATCAGCTTTACACATGGCGACTTTCGAGTGTTTGGTATCGAAGTGAAAATTGTTGTTGAATTTTTTAGATAGTGACCTGAACCGCTAAAAGTA